TTGAACAGGGGGTGAAGTCATCATTAATATTTGTCTACTTCAGATTAAGCCCTGTGGGATAAGATAGAGAGCAGAAAGAAAATCAATAGTAAGCAAGGATATTTTGCAAGAAAGCACTACCTTGTCTTTACTGATGAGAAGTGTTCTGGATTATCTCCTCCCAAAAGTACTTAGTATTAGCTTAATTCTGTTCCCAAAAATCTAAGAAAGCAGAGACCTGCTCTGCATTGCCTCACACAGACCCTGAATTTCCTAAAAACCTGGAATCTCCATTAACATTATTGCTATCCAAAATTTTCTCCCAACAATAAACTTTTTGATTAGTTGCTGCAGTAGTGCAGGACTGGTTTTCCACACGGGCAGTGACAGGCGGTCACTGCCAAACACCTCGGCGAAGGAATGTTGCCTCAAATCCTGTGCTGCAATTTCTCTTACCCGCCGGTGATAAAACCCCGTCTCCTTTCTCTCCCTCCTTTGGAAAAGCAGTGCTGCCAGAAAAGGCAGCGTTCTGGGTGGAAACGGGCCCCGCAGCACCTCATGGAACATGGGAAAAACGTCCCGTCGTCTCCGCAGAAAACCTGATAGGGAAAGGCAGAAGATGACGAGTCTTGGATGCGAAGGGCTACTTGTACGGGCTGGGGCTGAAGCTTTGGGCAGGACCAGGCTGCGCTCCAAGTGAGCAGCGGAGGTGTGGCCTGCGCTTGCCAGACAACCCAGTTCTAAACCTCACTGGCAGGTTTTTCGAATACTTGTGAAAGATAAAGGCAGCAAAGCAGCACCCAAGAGACAAGCCCTGGGTAGGGAGGAAGCACCACTCCATGATTAAGCCACAACCTCAAAAACCCCACTCCAGATTTGCTTTGAGAGCTCCAGCAACCTGATCTAGGGCTTTGGCCAGTTAAAACCCTCTCAGAGTTTCAGCATACCCTAACAGAACATTTTTAAACAGACAGAAATTCCCATGTTACAAGCCTGAAGCAACACCCGATTTATTATTGACAACAGCTTTTCAGAGAAGTTTCAGGGAGGCCTGAGCAGCAACTCCACAACTTGGTCTGCACTGGGATGCCTCAGAGAATACTGATTCACCACCATGTCCATCCCCTCACTATGTGAATGGCCTGCAAGAGTGCCCCCTTTATTCTCATTTCCACACAGAACAGTCTTGATTCCTCCACCAAAAGTAATGGTAAAAAAAAATAAATCAAAAAATGAAAAAAAAAAAGTACAACAGATACAGCAAATTTTTTTATGAGTCTACTTGAATAAGTAATAAAGGCAATTGTTTACTGGAAGTGATTAGTTTATTAAAAGCTGCTGACATTTGGCTTGTCTGGAGCTTTTGATTACAGAGCTCAAACTGAAGCAGCTGACCAAAAAACAAACTTAAGCGTTTCAACAATTAGAAAGTGGCAGAGAATGTATGAAAGCCAGTAACGCAGCACGTCACCAGCTCTGCACACACACACAAGAACGTGACACATTCTCAGCAAGGTCCCATTCATTAATCATTTCCTGTCATTAGTGTCAGTCACGAGATCAGAATTTAAGAAAATTAACAAAAGCAGAGGCACTAGCACTTAGAAACACAAACAAGTCAGCACTAGTTAGTGAATTAGCAGACTTAGAACCAGCGCACAGGCAAAAAGCAAAAAATATGCCATTGCAAAACAGCCAGAAACAGCTGTAAAGCTCTCCCAGCGTACTAAATGGTATGGTAAAGACAGATACTGGGCTGAAAAAGAAATTTCTTTGCTTTTCTACATACAACTGCATTGAAAGTGAAGGACTTGTTTTATTTACCTTGGGAAAATTGCAAAACCGTAAGTGTGGTATATTTAATCTAGTTTAGCTCAACTACGAACTACGGGAAATTTGAGGCAGTCTCGCACAGTAAGCTAACACGGAGAAATTACACTTCCTCTTAACAGTTTATTACAGGCAGTATACAAAGGCTGTATCTTACTTTCCAAGTGCCCAACTACATTTAAAAATCAGACTTACCTGCCTTCTTCTGAAGCTCTCTCTCCTCCTCCAACGAAATCTCAGCACAGGGATCTCATGTTTACAGAATTTCTCTTGAACTCCTCCCTCTTGAAAAACTGAAAAGCTCTTAAGAATTGTTTCACAGTCAACAGATCACCCATCAGCCAAGAGTGCTTGCCTGCAGTTTTAGCTGGCTACAGACACTGCTGACAGCCAGCTTAACATCCAGAGAGAAACTACTTGCTTTTGTCACTTTGTAGCAAATCACGAAAGCAAGCAAGCAAAATGGCATCAAAACATGAGGCAACAAAGATGCCCTCAAAACTGGCAACTTCACTTCTGCTTGGATTAGCATCCCCATAGTGGAAAAGGAAGATGTGTATCTACATTTCTTTCAGTTATTTCTCTGTCAATAAGCATGAACAAAGGACACCATCACCAACTGTAACATACAGTACTTAAAATGTGCCAAGTACTTAAAATATCCCAAGGAACCCCTTTTGCTCCCACTGGCAGCACCAAGAGGAGAGCCGAGATGCAGGACATAATCAGAAGAGATGAAGATTCCAAAAGATGCTATCAAGGTTTCAATTTTGGGGTTTTTTTTGGTGGACTGGTCTTCTCCAGAAGTACCAATACACTCAGTTGTCAAACATGGAAGATAAATATAAAATGGGAAACCTTAAGCGCTGTACTCTACTTCCAACACTAGACTAGTCTATGACCGACAGTTTAAGTAACTGCAAACCTAAAAACCTAAACATTTCCCTGATTTGGTCGCACCGAGCTCAACATTCCTCCCCATGCCAAAACAGCATACCACCACTAAAAAAAAAAAAAAAATCGTCAGTAATTTTAATGTTCTCTAATAAGTACATATTTAATGGTATAAGACTTTCAGAAACATTATTCAAAGAGATAATACAAAAGTGGGTTTAGGAGAATTTTGAAAACATTCACAAGCATACTACAAACTTGTAGATGTAAAAGCCAAAGTTGAGACGTGATGACAGCTCTCACATGGCATGGCTTCATCCGAGTTACACACGCTAAAGCAGGAGTGATGCTGGGAGCTTCAGTCCTTTCTCCCAGGAGAAAGTGAGGACTAATATATAAAAGGAAAAAAAAAGCTACAGCAGCCCAGTGAACCTTAACTGCACAATGACTGAAACACACACTGGTTCACAATATTTATTACGATCTATTGCTTTAGATAAACCTGCTGTATGGTTAGTAAACCCCAACCACATTTTAAGAAAAAAAGAAAAAGAAAAGTCATACAGTGCAAACCATATCTCTGCAAAAGGTATGCAATGGAGGTGAACAGAGGCACAACCTTAGCTGTGTAAGTAAGAGCACAATGAAAGATTCTCATGCGTGGATACAGCTCTTCTGGTAATAGATAATGAACACAAATAAAAATCAGAATAACAGTACTAAGAATAAGTAAAAATCAGAGCAATATTGTTATATTTGTATACGAAGAATACAGGGCCTTTTAAAATACCCTTCTTTCATTCTCAATGGCCTGTAAACACAACTCTCCCAAACCATCTTCTCTCTGTACCTGAACTAGTATATAAAGATCTATACAGAATGTGCAAATCCAATGTAAGTATATTTTTAGGCTCTCTTCTTCAAATAGAAGAAATACAACATTAAAAACATGAACACCACAGATTCCCCCTACTCAGCCTCTGCAGAAAGACATCAGTAGCAATACTGCCCAAGACATCCAAGTACAGAAGCAGCAAAACATCGGACCAAGAAATCCATAGGAACGCATGGCATATGAACAATAAATAAATACATGTGGAAAGGGAAAACACTGATATCAAGGGAAACTATTAACACCAGCAAATTAAAGTAAATTAAGACTCCAGTTAGCCTACAGCAGATCTAGTCATAAAAACCACGTAACATCTTAAGTAAACTTATAACATTAACTGAGATGCAGTTACACTTTAGGCAGACAGGCTTTATTATTTACCTACTTGTTCATTAAGAACTAATATCTGGTAGTTATATGCCATGCTTCATACTATTTAATAATTCCATATTTGTAAGTATTGCTAGACCCAGATGTTGGGAGTCACACAGCCCCTCTACTGGGTTATTTGCTACTGCTGTCTTTTCACTACCACTGTACAGATTCTTTCTGCATCGATCAAACACTTCAATATCCCTCATACCAATCTGCCATAGATCAAAGTTTGTGGAAAAATAAGTTAGACAAAAATATTACAGCCTACAAGGAGTATGGTGCAATCTAGTTTTTGCAGTTAAGCCTTCTGGCTCAAAGAGTAGCTCAACAGTAGTACCAGCTTCAGAAAAACACAGTTCTAGAGCTTGTAAAATAGAGAGATGTTGCAATAGTCTGGATTCTACTTCAATACTGGAAAGTAAGCCAGAGATCAAAGAACCTATATATACAGATCTCAAGTGTAGTCTAGATGATGAAGCAATAACTACAGGGCACTCCCTTCAGAAGTTGCTTTACAGGGTGTTCTTTGCTTTTCGGGATGAGTGCAGATATGAACTTCTTAGAATAGTCTCTGAGCTTCCACTCATGCTAAGGGCGAACATATTCAGTGCAAACAATATGCAAGTTAATTCAATTTACAGCTCTCAAACTAAAGAACCAAAAGCTTACTAGTGGCATCTACTATTGGTCTCTCTCCTGTGGAACTTCTTATAAGACAGTCAGGTGGTAACACTGAATATCAATAAAAAGATTCCTTTGGCCAGCACTTAAACATTTTCATTACTGAGATGAAAGTAAAATTATATTTTCTAGGTGTAGAAATATGCACAGAAGCCTTCTCTACACCAAACACCTGGTGATCTCCATGCAACACTGATACAGCCGCAAAGACTTTGAAGGAATTTTTTTTTTTAAGAACTATTTACATACAAGGCTAAATCACAACATTGTCACCCTAAGGAGGTAAGTTTTATAGTAAAACTTGACTTGTGGTCAACACCCAACAGTTGTCTAACAACTGATCTGCAAGGTTGGAGTGCAATACAAAACCCACTACAAAAATCAGTTTCTACTCTTCATCTGAGTACTGAGAGGTTCAGTGTAGTTGCCAGCACTATAAGAACATGGTTAAAGTCATTTTCTAGTAAATCAACATTGCTAGATAGGTACAGTCAGTCCACAGATACAATGACTTCTACCCAGTGTAAAAGAACCTAGCAACAAGCCCCCAAAAAATCTCAGAAGCATCAACTTCTTGAGTCATCAGTTCAGAACTCCATATGAATGTTGGGATTATTGACCGTAGCAAGGTCAGGTGTCCAATGTGTTGACTTCTTTGGAGCAGAAATAATGCACAATTATTGCATTAGGGTATCGAGCAAATGCACTGTAAAGAGACAGAACACAAAAATCAACTGTCAATACAGTTTCCCCTAATCAATCACATCCAACTTATGCAGAATCAAAACCAGATGCTTAGATGAAAGCAATGCTTTCTTGTTTAAATTACAGCCTGAATGCATCCTAGAGAAGATCAGACAAAAGTATTCAACAGATTTTGTAAGAGTTCCATTAAAAAAAAACCAAACAAACAACCCACACACTAGTTTTCACTTCTACAAGCACACTTTACTTGGAAGTCACTGGTAACAAGTTAAAGAGCAGGTGACCTGTTGACATGCCTGCCCTTCAAAACCTTGTCGAACTTAACAGCACTAGAAAAATCCTAGACAACCAAAACAGAATCACAGAATTGTTGAGGCTGGAAAAGGCCTCTGAGATCATCAAGTCCAGCCTATAAAAGAATGAAAATTTAAATTCTGATGCTACATGCCATATATATCAACAGCAAAAGATTGTGCATGCACAGCAGTAACTATGTTTAGACCTACGTTTATTGAAGTGTTTTGGAAAAAGAACCTTTCCCAGAATGCTCCTGATAGCTCAGAAGGGTTCACATCAACAAGAGAAACAATGAATGCGCCAGTCACGTGGCTTTTCACTGGAGTTCAAAGCAGAAGAAGAAAAAGCACTAAACAAAATTTGCATTCTATACTAACCCCTAATTACCTATGAGGAATGGCAGAATAAAAGTTAGTGGCATCAACGTATGACGTGAATTAGTTCTACTTTGAAATGCCGTAAGATAATTAGGTTACAAAACAGAAATCAGCCAGGGAACCATAAAAACATCAGATATAGAAAACTAATCATACATATATCTTCATTTGAGATTCTTTCTATCATCCTTCTTAATTCTAGTTAAGAAATTTTCCAATTTCATATGAGAAGGGATTTTCTGCCACCTAGAGTTGTGAGGTAAGAAGTCTTAGGAGTTCCCAAAAGGATTTTAAGCTCCTTTATTGAAAACAGGAATAAACTCTTGCTGTAAACTTCATGTTGACTAAAGCTTTCATGTTTTCCCAGCTAAGCAATATAATTTGTAATTCAAACACTCGACACAAATGTCTCCTTCATACTGCTCTGTGTATATACACATTCCAAGTTTTGAATATTCTTAGTTTAAGTGTTACCAGATTCATATTTTACCCATTTTCCTAAGCTTTAAGATAAATGCTCTCTCACCTGTTACCTATCTTCTTTTTACACACAGTGCACACCTTCTCTTCTGTAATAATGCACTTCACTTGCTGATGTAAGATTCGCTCCTCCTGGACCTAAAGAGGAATAAAATAAAAAAAACTTGTTTAAAAAGCAATGCTATGCCACGGCTCCCTCAGTCTAGTGAAACTGGGAACTGCCACAAGGTTTAATTTTCAGCAGCCATATCTACATTATCAAGCCCTACGGCACAAAAGAAGCGGGTCTGTACAACAGATGAGGTGGTATTTAACACCCAGCACCCACGCTATATGAATTGCAAGATTTTACTTTCAAGTAGTCTGGTCCACAGACTAAGGCATTCTAACCACTAAGGGCTGTTCAGGCAAACTACTGAACTGCATCATCTGGTTTAGTTCCTTTGAAAGAAATTGAGCCTGTGCTCTCCAAGATCATCCTGCAACGCACACCAGAGCTCACAGGGAGTCTCACAGAGACTCACAGGAAAGACCTGCACCTCGTCCAAACTAAAATGAATGTACCTGCCACCTCCTGAAAAAAGGACACATCATCTACCTGAGGCACATCTACTAATTTGAGGTGTGCTACAGCACCATCTGGAGGACACACATTCCATACAAGAAACAGTTCCAATATCGAACTTTGCTTTAAAACACCGTTCCAGTAACCGACAGGTGGTAGGTGCTTACCCTCAGGAACTCTGCATGGAGAAGATTCTTGAGTACTTGATTAAATCTTTTCTTCTGCGCGTTTTCTTCAAGGACTTTCTCTAAGAATATTCGAATCTCACTGATCTGTGTATTGGCTGGGAGGAGGTTTATCGCCTGGAGCAAAATAAACTTACATTAGGAAAAATTTAAAAGGAACAGAGAACAAACCAGGGCAGAAATTGACACGTTTAGTTTGACACTGTTATAACCTATTCACTTGACTACTCCAGTACCTTCTGTCGCCTTCTGCCAACAGCATAAACTGAGTACTTAAATGTCTTTCTTACCTTGGTGGTATCCAGTTTGCTGTGATGTAGCTCCAGAACCTGCAGAGCAGCCTGCAGGTTGGCTTGAGGCTCCAGCACTTCCATCTTGATTGGTCCCAGGCAGTGAACACTGGGCGGGGAGAGATACATCCGGAGCAGCGACAGATACACCTGTCACACGCAAAAGGGAAGCTCTGAAACCACCGCACACGTCCACAACTGGCAGCGCTGGCAGAACCCAGCAACAGTACTAGGAAGCCCTATCCACGCCATTTAGAATTCTGAAGTGCTCCTTTAAACAGCTCCGAAAATAACAAAAGCTGAGTAGTACCAGTGATGGCCAAAGACTTTTAAGATCTACATTCTACACTAAAGTTTTTCTATAAAAGTAGTTTCAATCTCCTCCCTCATTTATCTTACATAACTCATTATAACCTTTAGAAATCAACACTTCATTGCTTTTTACCATTATTTTTTCTGTTTAAGTACGTGGAATACGCACAGTTACAAAACCAGTATTTTGCCTTCTGAATCCCATCAGAACTTTAGCTACAGAATATGTTCAATTCCAGTGATACTGTAACATTCTCAACAAAAAACAAATGAAATAAAAATAAAAACTCTACACAATAATCTAGTAACTCCAAAATTCCACAGAGCTAATACATAGGTTTCTGTCCACCAACACAAACCCTGAAAAAGCCGACAGAGAGCAAAAGCTTTAAAGTCCCTAGCATGGAACAAATAGTCTAATATATCTTTACTGAAAAGGAAGACCACAAAGACGAAGCTACTTACATCTTTGTTGCCATCTTTGTTTATGTCATAATGTTTATCGCAGTAGCTAGAACAGAGAAGAATCAAGTGAATTGCACGGACAGTTTTGGAACCTAGAGAATCAGTCCACAGAAATCAACATTTAAACATTTCGATTACTGAAGCTATCCAAGTTAGGTGACCATACATCTGAATTTCATCGTTCACTCTCCACTGCAATGCTGAGAAAATTGAGGTTTTGTGCAAGAATCCCGCTTTCAATCAACTTCAAAAGCTTTAAAACAGAAACTAAATTTAATTCAAAAGGGAGAAAGAGATGTCTCCAACACATCACAGCATAAAAATACATGTGCAAATATACCTAATTACTGTATTTGAATCACAGAAAGGTGTACACTGCATAGCAGGAGTGAATGTCCTCTCACAGGCATTTGCTGAAACTAGCTTTAAAAGAAGCAATGTCAAACAGACATCAATGTTCAGATACATCTGCCAGTATCGGTTAATCCTAATTTTGCCCAGAGTACCCTAAATTCACACAGAGGGTTTCTTTACTGAACATATCTAGCAAAATGCCATATCTTTACTAGATAGGATTCTGCTAACCAAAGGAGTTTAACTTTGCATCTGGGCTAGTAAGTGCCTCTCCAAAGAGAAAGGAAGCAAAACAACATAGGGAAGTTCACAAGCTAAGTCTTGAGCAAAAAAAAAAAAAAAAATACAGAAGCCCTTACTTTTCAGCCATGTTGGTGTCCTTCAAAATATGAACATAAATAAACAGAGCTTGCTCATGCTTCCCCATACGACCCAAGAGCAGAGCACGTTCTTCTAGGAGACCTAGAGATAGCAAGAAGGGTTAGACAACAGCTATGCAGAACAACAACAACATAAACTCCACTGGTGACCAGACTAACAGAAAGAACTACAAACCGTAGTCTGGGCACAGGTTAAAGCTAACACTGAGACCATAATGTCTGCTTCACACCAGTCTCAGTAACATTTTTAAGCAGCCTTAAGAAAAAACAAACTTCTGATCTGTTGAGCAATTCAGGCTCATCAAAAAGTTTAACTAAATATTTCAGGGATGCGAGACCCCACAAGGTCTTAGACCAGGAATCCTACAGGAATCCTGCAGAGACTGGTAAACCCATCCGCACCAGTAAAAAAATAGTTAGTGTAAACACCAATGTCTTACAACTACAGATACAGACATCTCTGTTTCTAGTTACCAGGCCTCTACACTAAGTGTTTTGCTGTACAATGAAATAAGCCAGCATTTAATTAACCTACGGAAATTGAACTCACCATCAAAGGGGAAGTCACTAATTAGTCGACTAGGTTCATACCAGCTAGACTTCTCCAGAAAAAGTAGAAGTTTTTTCCGGTAATCCCCCAAGTCTCCTCCTTCCTCCCCAGCAGGCACTGGAGTTTTATCTATATGCAAGAAAACAAGACAAGCTGTGGCATTCCCACTATTTCACTACACTAGTACACAGGAGATAAACAAGCAAATCATTATGAGGAGAAACCAAATGCTGATGAAACTGTTACATGGGCTAGGATTCTGGTGCCCTTGCCAAACTACTTCTGCTCCTTAAAACACATCAGAAGGGTGGTTAAACAACAGGCATAGTTATTCAAGACCACTCCCAGCCCTTAACACTCAGAATTCAGAGAGCAGTAGCTGCCATTCCACTTAACCATGAAAAAAGTGTCACTTGGTCCCTTAAGATCTTTAGGGAGGCAATAAACTAGACTTTTCCCTAATTATGGTTCCAGTTCCTTTATCACTTGGGTTATCTTCTTCTAGATGTGAACAAAGACAGTTTACAGCAATACACTATGAGGGGCCCCTGTGTTGTGCCACATCCTTAGTCTTCTCAGCAGAAAAGGCTCAACGTACCTGCAGGGAAAGAACTGAGATACTCCTTCATTAAGGTCTGCACTTTCTCACAGTACAGCTGGATCAGACAGTTGTGAAAGTCTGCACCTGTTTCTTCCCAGACGTGAATGATGTGTTCCTGGAAATACATGTTCAGTTATAGACTCCTTGTGGGAAATAATTTGTTTTAAGCAAGCAACAGTTCCATGCTATTCCTTTACTAACCTTTCTTCAGAGTGTAATACATTTCTATTATTTTTTTCTTCACACAACTTACAGCAAAGCTAGCATTCTTTGAGACAGCACCAGGCTTCAATGCCTGGAAAACTAAAGTCTTACTTGTAACATGTTGTACTCAACAGAATGCACAGCAGAAATTGAGTTCTTACCAGATAGGGAATAGTCAAGCTTTTAAAATTTTCTATCAGGAAACTGAGCACTTTGTCTCGGGGCAAAGCTTCCACTTCAGGAAGGTCTTCTGTAAATACCTGTTAAAGAAAATTTATTCACACAAGGGTGATATTTTTTTTTTTCAAGTGCCACAGTGTATTTTCTCTGAGGCACTGAAGCCCAGCATATCATAACACATGTCTAAAGATTAAGCACAAGAAGTATAAAAGAAAAAATCCGAGCAGCTTATTCAGGCACTCAGAAGCCAGCTCACATCTGAAAGGATTAACAAACATCCCACTTCTGCCTCAGTTAACACCATTTACAGTGCCCAACACCTCCCAAATGCAAGGATTCAATTCTCCAATATACTAAAGAAAAATGGGAAAATAAGAAATACAAAATAACATTTGACATTTAAATACCCAGTTAAGCTCTTGTGCAAAAAATGTAACATCAAGAACATTAGAAGTTCTGTGAAAGGTTCCTAGGTACTTATTACCACATAAGGTATTCCAATTACAGAAAAACATAAGAAAATATGAAAGGTTGTCCTGCTCTATCTACTGCTAATCTTACCACAGTACTCAACACTGCAAATAAAAATTATATATTTAGCTGGACTTAGCATTAATACATGGCTTCTTACACTGAGTTCTCCAAATTCCACACAGCGCACTAAGAATCACAATGGCAAGGTGCCTCTTTCAATCACACTTACCTTCAGCCCATCTTCAGGAAAATCTCTTAGCACCCAGACAGAGTAAGAAAATACCAAGTTCAAGTTCTCAGTGCCTGGAATACAAATAGCAGCAGTGTTCAACGTCGAAGTCCTAAAGATCCACCCACTCACAACAAAAGCAGATGCTTTCAGAGCTAGCAAAACTTAATTCAGAAGAAGAATATCGTTTAGGTGTGCGTGTTTCCCCCGCCCCGTAAAGTACATCACACATTCCAGGCTAAAGCCACAATTACTTTGCAAACATGATTCGAAACAGAAACAAGAATTAGCTCGCATATTAAGCGTCAGACCATAATCAAGCTCAGCTGTCTTATCACATTCCCAAAGTCTACCCTTACAACTTGCTCTTCTTAGGGTAGAAAAAGCACTGCATTTTTCACTTGTGTAATTTCCGTCAGTGGGAGGAGTCCCTGCCCATGGCAGGGGTTGGAACTACATGATCTTCACTGTCCCTTCCAAACCAAACTCTTCTATGATTTCCAGCCTGCCAGTCTAACAACTTCTACAGTAAACGGTCAAATACTTCATAATAAGTAGTACAGCGTGCTAGCACTGAAGTAACTGGCATAGAAACTACGTAACAGACAATCACTTTTCAGCTTTAAATAAAATTTAAGACCCACCTCTTTAAAAGAATACATTCATTTGGACCATTTGGTTCACAAAGCTCGTAAAACAAGTTAGGAAAACACGATTTTCCCCTCACCCTCCTGATCAGAACCACCGAAGCACTCACTGCCCAAACAATGCAACAACGCAACTGTACAAGAAACAGAAACCTCCACCAACCCTACACATATTTGCTTTTCTTTATCCCACAATATAATTAGGAGTAAGTTACTTTTAAAATATTTTAAACAAGCAGCATCTTCATAGTAGCAGTATTTTAAAAAACAGATGAGAGCTATGAAACAAAACAATTAAGACAGCCGATCCAATTTCAAAGTTTCAGAAACAAAACAGTGATATAGCAAATGGCACTGAGGTCCAGGTCTGAATTTCACTGAACTTCAATTACCTTCCTGAATTAAGAGGACAGAGTACGGTAAGGGCTTTGCCAGCCTCACTGAGAAAATTTAAAGAAAAGACAAATCATGGGAGTAAGCTCTCATGTAGAACAAGGCCAGACAAGAGAAAGTTTAACTCCTTATAAAAAAGCACGAGACTAATTAGATAGTTCCTTACCAAAGCAACAAGTTGCCTATACTGAAATCGTGACCAAATCAAACAAGTTACAACCTATGCAAAACATTTAAGACAGCAGAAGACAAACTCATCAAGGAACAGCCAGAGCTTATAAATCAGAATACTAAGAGGCAAGATCACATCCCACCACAAAGCAAAACAGCTGGCTCCCTCAGCACACAACACTGAGCTGAGTGGGGATTTACACTGAAGCTCACAGGCAAGGATGTTTTCTGCTCCTACAATTAAGGCAGACACTAAATTTCTACATTTTCTCAGCAACAAATCCCTAATTAAAATATCAGTTGTAACAGGATGAAGTTCTGCATAACACTATAGCCGATAAAGCACGGTGTAATACAGAAAATTATCTACCAGCCAGTCAAATACATAATTGTCCTGTGCCTATCCTTGCACAGGTAAAGTGTATTTGTGATCAACATGGACAATCAAAAAGTTAACAATTAATTTTTGCTTTGATGCAATAAACAGTAAGTGTTTACTTTGTTGACAAATGGCAAGTATCAAGTCCAAATCAGTAATACATACTAGATGACTTAAAAAAGCACAGCCTGGAGGAAATTTTCTCTAATCACCTGAGAACTATTTAAGAAGATTTTGTTAAATGCCTCAAACCCCATAGACAAGAGATGACTAAAGAAGAGTTTCTACTCCACTCAGAATGTAAGTGAAAGCAACTAAAAATACATCCCACATAACTAAAATTTTAAGAATAATTTTAAAATTATCACTTATTACTTAGAACTACAGAAACCTCACCAAGGGGAGGGCAAAGGGAAAAATCAGTAGAAATCCCAGAGTCTGAAATGCTTTTATCATCTTAAAGGGATGGCCAGAAATTACACTTACTAATCAAGGCCAAATGGGCAATGCCATTAAAAAAACCCCACACACACAGTGTTATGTTTCTCCTATTTTCTTGATGGGAAAAATCTACAAGTGATAGTAGTGTAAAACATTCCATTTATTAGCAACAGTTAACTGTCTAGGTTGTTTCCACTGTATTCCATTCCCAAAGATCCTTCAAACCCAAAGATCCTTTTATCAGTTTTAAAGAGCTGAGCAAGGAACAAGCAACATACAGGAAAATTGATTTTCAGGAGGTCCTGAAACAGAGAAGCTCCAAAAGCCTAAAAGAAATTAAGCAAGCTGCCAAGATTTTAAAAAAGTATTCCAGACAACTTGGATAATTATAAGGCCTAAAATATCATCACTCTCAGGTGCAACAAACGAACAGGTGACATAGGTCAATCGAGATGAATTTATCAAGATGACAATTATTTTAAAAGTAAGTTTGTTTTGTAAAGCTGTATGCTGAATATAACATACCTACACTTCTCTAAGATGACTCACATTTCCAAATGACTAATTTCCAAATTTCAAATGAATATGAAGTACAAGAGAGACACGGCACAAACGGGAAAGGTCTCAATGTCATTGTAAGTAACATATCACTGAATAAGCATGTTGCCAAAAGAAGCCAGCAGTTCTTAGAAGTAATTATAGAAAAAAAAGTATTTTAAAAAAATCAAACTTTGCCAACTAGAGAATGAACAAAGGTATTTCCTTCAAACCCCTCACTTCCAAAAGAGCTGTGCATTTAGAAACAAATAATATTACTGGGAAGGGATTACTCTTAGAAGCAGCAAAACCAAAAAAAAGACTTAGGAGTCCACAATGAATAGTCAACCAGGAAAGTTCCTATCATGATGCTGTGACCAGCAACTACAACTGTTAGGTCATTACCTAGATCAACCTAAACACAGAAAATAAAAACTTCATATAGGGTTCTTCATCTCTAGCAACTGGAGGTTAGACTTTCAGCAGGAAAG